GACAGGCAGGACTCAAAATGACAGCTTTTAGCTTGTGTGCTTTGGAGGTGACCAATGGCAAAGGTTCTAAGCCTCTTTTGTCTTGCCTAAATGGTGTCCAGTTTTGCCATTCAATTCTAGAAGCTTGACTTTCCACAGTGTTTTGTCAAGGTAATATTTCTTCCCAAGCAGTGTGCTAGGAGGAGGGAAGAGGAGCTCATGGCTCTAGGTGAATCTACCTCCCTGCTGGGGTCCACCGACTGACTCTCTGTTCCCCTACAGCACTATTGGCCATCCCTGCTCTTCGTTATCCTTAGCCCAAGAGCCATAGCACTGCTCCTCCCTGCCAGGAGTATCACTGGGGGCAACTGCCCTTCCAGATCTATTAACACAAATTCCTTTTCCCTCACCTGGTTCCCCTTCCTTTGGAGGCAGAAGAAAATCTTAGTGGAAAATACAGCTGACTTAACCAAGATGAATTCATGCCTGTATCCTAGATCTGTATCAACATATACACCTGCCAACCTTCTCTGTCCCCCATTTCCTGGACATCCAATATTGGACATTCACTAACCTAGGTTTCCCTGTTTTCTTCACAACTTCTCAGCCATGCATCCTTATCACATTTTATACAGAGGAGGAAGAGAGGCCCACAGAGCTAGTGAGGTGTCATCTCCAGATTAAAACACAGGTCTTTTTGGACCTACAGCTTGTACTCTACTGCACCAAACTTATATTTAGCATTTTATATCTTAGAGGGCAGCCAAGAGAGAGAACTTCTGTCATTGTCACAGAAAGCCAAAATAAATGGGGGATTTTTCATATAATACTTCAACCTAATTTTGAACAATAATTTCAAGTTCTGTTTAAGTGACATTTTCTCTATGGTTTTTAAAAATAAAACCAACTGAATGTCATCATTTTTTCCTTACCTCTTGTGGACAGGACAGAAGCTACAAGCACTGGTTAAGGTTTGAGCAGAGTAACTCCAGCAAGGAAAGAGCCCTGACTGTTTGAATTAGTCAAACACATTTACTAGTGTCTTCCTGTGGCATGGAAAGGTACCAGGTTAGTCCCTGTCACTGTACTTTAAGAGTCAAGGGATAAAAAAGCCAATCATAATGAAATATAAAAATATATAAGGTAATTGTGCTAAGAGTAATCCATACACGACTAAAGACCAGCATCGAGAGAAGAAAAACATGGTTAGAAGAGAAGCAGCAGGAGAGGTTTTAGGAGGAGGTGGGAACTACAGCTAGAACTCTGAAAGATGCATAAATGGATGAGGATGAATCAGGAGGTACATTCCACACACAGGCCTTTGCATCCAGAATCAGAGGGAACCACGTATATGAGGACAAGTGTAATTTATAGACAAGAAACTAGAAAGCTAAGAGGTTGAGGTCAAGAGAAAAGATCTGGCAGAAGGAGACATAATCTGGCCACCTTGGCTGGAGGCGAGTGTAGATTCCTGAAGTCATAGATTTTGGAAGGAAAGCTAGGGCCAAATACCGGAGCCAGCAAACTGACTGGAAGCCTGAACTTTGTCCTGTAGGAGTGAGGTCCCACGTGGTAGCTGGCAAACAAGAAATGCTCTGAGGGAAGTGGGGATTTAAGAAAGCTCAGGGCACAAGTGGTGGCCAGAGGCGGGAGATGTGGGCTCTATGGTACAGCACAGTGCGGCTCAGTGGTACAGCACGGGCTTAGTGTGCATGAGGAGGAGGAGAGGAAGAAGAGGAGGAACAGAAGGAAAAGAGAAAGAAAAGAAATAGAGGCAAAGAGAATCAGCTAGGAAGCTGCGGTGATGACCTACGCAGTGGACCACTGTGAAAGTGAACTGAAAATGTTTTAAATAAGAAACATATTTCAGGACCAATTTTTTCCACTAAAACATTTTTTTCTTTTGAGTTTTTTTGTTTTTTCATGGCTCTAACCTAAAATACAGGTGAATTTACCACATGGCCGTAAATTTAATTTTATACATGTGTCTGTTTTACCCAATGTCTGTAAAGATGATGATAAAAATAATAATCTATTTAGAGTCAGCTTATAAAAAGGTTAATCGCCTTAAATTTCCTCCTTGCAGTACATACAAAAATACTGCAAACAGAGAAAAGAACCAGATGCCCTAACCTGACCCCTTTGTTGGCCTCTTCCACATGGCAATGACTGGAGAAATCTCAATACTGTATATACCTCTGTATCAGAAATCCCGCTTTATGGATTTAAAGAATAAATGTGTTTAAATCTAAAACAGAAGAACCATTTCTCTATCTATTCCTAGAGGGATTCATAATTGGGAAAGGAAATAAAGTGTCCCACTTTCTGTAGGTCTCAACTGTGATCATGGACGTGCCCATGACAATCTGGTATCACACAAATTTCCTTAAGAAGGAAACAGAGGAACTCTTGGAGTTCTTCAATGAAGGTCACACTAGAGATCTGCCATATGTCTGTCAATACCAGGATTTACGTTAATATTCTCCTCCCAACCATAAAAATGAGTTTTGCAAACTTCATGAGTCAGATTTTCAGATCATCTTAAAATTCATCATCTTAAAACATGACTAGAGAGAAGGATGCAGCCACCATGAAGAGACCGTCTTCCCACCCCAAACCCAGCTTCCTGTCCCTGGAAGAAAGACAGGGAAGGAGAGAGGGAGGGAGGGAGGGGTACTCGTGTGTTCAAACACTTTTACAGCTGTTAGGGTACTGATGGGAACTTCATATGTTATCAGCACAGGCACTGTCAGGAAGAAAGCAAATGTCAAACTGAGGTATGTAGGAGTCACCGTAAATAAGTCTCGTGAATGCTTACCATCTGGAATGGGAGATTTAGACTTGGACCAGAACCTGAGATTATCCTGTGGGCACTGTCTTTTAAGCAAGCTCAGTTCACAGAACAAAACAAAAACTTTCCTTCTTGAAAGTGTGGTTTTGTTATATTTCAACGTTTCTTTTTTTTTTTTTTTTTTTCCCTTCTTGTCTCATCCTTTGCACAACTGATTTGGAGAATTTTCCCATATTGTCAAAACCCTGCACAGGCAGCTTGCGATGAGTCTACAGCTGCAGGGACAGGAGCTGGTGGGCCTTCACTTTTGAACTGCACCTTGCCTTTGTTAGGATGCCATGACACTGCATCTCATGTGCGGAACTTGGCCTGTGAGCAGGGGCTTTGTGTTCGCTGAAATGTTTCTACAGTGGTGAAATTGGCATGGGTAGCTAGCACCTTGCCTACTCCATGCTGCCCAAATCATGATCCTGACAACACAATATATTAGTTTGCCTTTCTGCCTTTTTAAAAACTCCAGTTCCATTGTAAAGCCAAAATGGAATGACTGGAATTCCAAAGCTTCTGAACTAAGTCCTATTTTGGTTATGTAATATTGGGAATCAGATAATACTCAGTCGGAATAATCGCTTGGTTATTTATGAGGCTATTTTCTCACTGGAGAAGATTTTTCAGACTATAACCAGAGAACATTCTGAGTAGCAACTAAACATTATACTAAAATATTGTTTTAATTTTAACTTTTTTAAAAAGAAGATTGAAGAGAAATCAACTATGACTAATTATATATATCTGATATATCATATATATATAATATATATATACATATATATCACAACTTGAAACATGAAGTCTCTTTCTGCAGTTGAATACTGAAATCAGAAAGCACTATCAATCCTGTTATTCAGTTTACCAAACAGCTCTTACTTCAGAATAACTTAATACAGTGTCATTCACAGAACATCTCACCTGCAAAGGCTGAGGGCCGTGTCGGGTTTCTCTGCCAAGTGTGCAAGTCCAGGAAAAGCAAGAATTCTTGCTACGCCACAGGTAAGTGCACACTGTGCAGAAAAGTAATCCAGTCTCTTAGATGGCAAAGGAAGTAACTCAAGGCTCAGCTATCCTGCTCAAAAATTTGAAAAATGAAAATTTCACTTTTTGATCCCTGTAAAAACAGGGCATCTGTTTTACAGGCCTGTTTGTACCTCAAACTAAGCAGCACAAATAAACCTGCTTGCTACACTTTCTGTTCGGTTTCATCTCGGTGGGTGCCCTGGCCAGAGTGTTGCTCACGCAGAGGATGACAGCTCATTTTGTGCTGTTCAGGCACCGGATGACCATTACTTTCCAATGACTAATTTATAATTAAAACTTTTTTATTTGTTTGTTTATAACCCAGGCTGAACATCCATTTACATTTAATTAACACTTCAGATAGCTTGTTTAAAACCTATAAATGTAGTGACTCTAATGATCCATTGCAGATATGCTACTTTAGTTTTTCATGACTACTTGTAAAACTTTCACAGACAGATCTGCAAATGAATTAACTCCATCTGCTCCCCCTGCAGCTGCAAGAGAGCTATGTTAAAGAGCATTTTCCTCTTTCCTTCTCTTCTGCTTTTCTTCCAGCTCCCAGCCTTATTTGCTGGAGTTTTAAAGCTGATTTTTTTTTTTGCTGCTGAGAAGGTAGCCTCTTCTCTTGAGGACTTTTCAAACTTTAGAGCCAATCTGAAGATTTTTTAAAAAACACTTTGCTCCATCATAAATCAGACACAATCTATCTTGCACAAGTCAGTTAACAAAGCATTTCCATCTCTGCCAGGACCTCAGGAATAGACTCTTGAAAGAATTTTTATGAATTGAGTAGTAATAATGGAACAGTTTGACACAATCCTAACTCTGAAAGCTAAACTAAATGCTTTCTTGGCCTCACCCATCTTTTCTGAGCAATTTACACTTACTGTTTTGAGTCTAAAACGGAGACCTGAAAGGTCACAAACACTGCTGCAAAGGACATTTTCTCAGCTACACCTTCAAAAGCAAAGCATGAGAAGCGTTAGTTCTAGAACTACAGCCAAGCATCAAGTTATGTGCACTGTTATCCGTCAGCCGGACAATAGTAGCATTGATAGGACAGCGGCCACTGCCTGTGACAAGTGTGCTGTGCTAGCATTCCATTCAAAAGTACGGTGAAAGAGAGAGAAGCATTCAATGTCTTTTACTTTACCTGAAAAAACTGCTTTCCTTGCGGCTGCTGAAAATGAATCCCTCCTCTTCTCCCGAAAGCAAAGGAGTTGTATTGCTTGCAACTCTCACTTGGAGAGGACCACACAGCTCCAGCGAGGCAGCCTTCCTTCTCTTAATCCCCACTCGAATGTGATGACACACACTAACCCCAACCATCTGTTGAAACACGTCCTCGAGCACTCAGCGCGGTGGTGTGTCAAGACGGGCTGCCCAATCCAATCGCTGGGGCTGGGTGTCTCCTACGGATTGGAGGCTGCGGGCAGGGCTGGAACGGGAGGTCTGAGAACTCCCAGCCAAGTAACCTGAGATTTTCGGAGAGAAAGGACTGCTATAAAAAGAGGAGGAGTGGGAGGTGCTAAAGGGAAGGTAGAGGGAATGAATTATTCTGGTGACCAGTTGTGCGTTACTTTTCACAGCTCCCCGTGTCCCCCGGGGATGCTGAGGACCCTCGGTAGGATGCCCAGAGACACTAACCATCTTTTACAGCCAGTCTATTGAGGGCAATCTTCTCAGCAAGCCACTTTCCCCCCACAGGAGATAAAAGATTCATCCTGTCATGCTGATAAAGTGTTAAATGTGGGAGTCGTTTGCACTGAAATGTGACATCTACATTTTGAAATCTAAACTCCTACCTGCCTTTGATTAGATCGCGGCTGCCTCCAACAGTCTGGGAGCGCGAGTGGGGGCCGCAGCCGGGAGCAGGAACTTGTCTTCTCTGTGCTGCGCTTCCTCGTTGGCTACAGGCTACAGGCTTCACTTCAGAAACAGTCAATGAAAATCACGCTGGCTCCTACTCCTGTAAAATAGCACGCGCTCCCATAGAGAAAGGTGGCTTTTAAAATCACTTGCTGCTTTCACAGACATCGCTTTGTAAAAGCACTTGGTACCAGAGGGCTGCACTCTGTCATTGATTATTTTTATTGGCTTCTAGTTAATTGCACTTATAATGTCTGTATAGCTCGAACAGTTCATTAACAATTTTGCTTTGAAATGTTTTCAATTTTTGGTCATTTCAAAACTTCTCACGTGAAAAAAATGTTCAGCTCTCTGAACTATTTTATAAAACTAATTACGTGGATAGCAGTCTGAACCAGAAAATGGCTATGCTTTTTATAAGTACTTTAAGAAGATATTTGGAAATTAAGTATTAGCAAAATCTTACTGTTTCAAAAATCTTATCAGATATCTAAGGAATTTTGACAATCTTAAAGGGAAAACAGAAATTTTAAGCACAATCAACTCCCTGACAATGTCTGTTGGAAGTCAGTGTTTTAAATATTATGCTTTTTGAATTTTTTCCTTTTAAACTAGAAGGACTGCTTGAGAAAAACAACAAAAACCACCTTAAATTTGCCTAAAGCATTAAAACTTAGACTATCAGTAGGCATCTAATACTTGGAGGAGGAATATTACAAATAACATTATATTTGTATCTAGATACAGTGAGATGACTAGCAGGGTATTTTTTTTTTCTTTTTGGAGAATTTTTATGTGATATATTAAGAAATCTAAATATAAAGCTGGAAATGTGGCTCAGTGGTAGAGCTCTTGCCCACCTTGTGTGAGGCCCTAAATTCAACCCCCCAGTACCAAAATAACAACAATAAAAATAAAAAATGTTCCTGGTAGAATTTTTTGAAGCACAGGATTAGAGCACTATTATTTCACGTGGTGATTTTTTTCTTTCAAAAATTAATATTCGAGGAACAAGGAGGAAAAAAGAGACTTCAACGTTCCTGTCCTGATTCATTTGCTCACTTTCTTCTCAAAATGATTATGAGGTGTCTGTTGCACAATGCAAAGTATATTCACTGAGCCACTACTTCTAATCACCTAAATCCAGAGACATAATCAACACAAGCATTTTCAACAATGGCAAGTGGCAGAACAGGGCTAAACTTCCCTGAGGCACCATAAAATTTTAATAGCTCCAATTATTGTAAAGTAATTTTTTTTTTCTTTTGAGGGAGTGGTTAATCCAACCAGACCCATGTCTGGAAATCTGGATTACCTCAACTGCATAGATTCTGAAGACCCCGGAGACATTGTTAAGGTAGTTTGTATTCTCTTAAACTATAAATTGAGTTACAAAAGTAAAACCTAAGAAACTGTAAAGGTGTTAAATCAATATGTTTTATCAACCCCGTGCTTGTAACTTCTTCCTATAAGACATTTCTCTGACAGGCCTGGCTCTGACCTACATTAGTCTTCAAAATGGTTTTTTAATATGAACATTTTGCTCTACCTCATTAGATCTCAGTGACTACTACTCTTTTATTGATAACTCCAGCCATTTACCCCATTTAATTCTTGCTGGAAAATAAAAAATACAGGTAAGCAGTAGATCATGGCTGTTTGTGCTGATCTTAAGGCTTGCTGTGTGCTGCGAACATGCTACCTTTCAAAAGCGTCATAAAGTGAGGCCACAAAGACACATTTTTCCTTGTTGTTCTAAAATGCTTTTGTTAGGGAAAAATCAACTCAAACCAAAACCTGAAGCTGGTGCTGCAGGATAAGGTCCCAGCCCCCTCCTCTCTAGTAGCCAGCTCTCGTGCTCGGCAGAGCGTCAGTTTAGAAGTTAAGAATTTTCCATTACTTCCCTTCCTTTCTCCTTGCCATCTGCAAACAGTTTATTTTTTAAGAGGGGGGAAAAAAGTGAAATTGACTCTATCTTGGAAGATCTAAACCTAAAGCACAGCTCCTTCTAAAGGAGGATAGCCCGCACTGGAGAGCCAGGATGAGCAGCGTGAGGCTGCACGCAGAGGGAACAGTTTCATCACAGGAATTAAGTGAGGACGGCCCCAAAACGAAAGATTAATCATAGGTAATGGTGATATTGAAGAATGGCCCCTCCGATTCTGCTCCTACAGTTAAAATGTCCCTTTACTTATTAGCTCCAATTAGTTTCCATGGTAACCGACCAGCCCTTGTAAACCGGCACTCTGAGCTTCACTCATCTTTGTCTAGACTGAGCTCGCCACCCCTCTTGCTCCACAGATGGCAGCGGGGCTGAGTGTGTATCTGTAGCCGTATCTTTCTCGCGCACGTAACTGGCACATAAGTGCCCACGCTCATTTTTCTGCTAGCACAATGATGACCAAGGGGGAATGGCAGCCGCATCCGATCCCCCTGCCACCGCGTGTGCATCTGCTGCCACGCTCCTTTTTCCCTCTTTTGGTTATTGTTTCTTCCAGTCTTATTCTATTATCAGCTGTTTGCTGCCTGTAATTTCTTTTCAGAGACGCCAATACAGTCTAATAAAAACCTCATTAAATGGAAACACCTATCAGCCCTGGAGAAAGCCCTAAATGATCCCTTTTTGTTGAAAGAATCATTAAAGAGAAAAAGAAAAGCCACTTGTTTGTCATGCTTGAAAAAAAGAGAACAAAGCCAACATCAAGGTTTACCAAGCCAACGGGCTAGGATGAAGGTTTAATGCAGTCGAGATGTGCTGATTCTTCCCCTCCTGTGCTGCCAGTTGGCCTAGAATCTCAACTGGAGCACAGGGAACAAAGACCAGGGAGGCTGGGAGAGCCGGCTGGGCTCACAGGGAGCTGGGGGATCTGCAGCCTCTTAGCACTGTGCCCAGGTGTGCCTGCTAGAGTCTTGGAAGTTAGGAGGTGTGCCCAGGGCGACTAAGAGGGCAGCAGGGGACAGCCTTCTGCAAATGACTGAGAATTCAACAAGTTGCAGCTTTTCCTCAATTGCACGGACTTGGTTTCATCTTATACAACTAACATTAATTCAGTATTACTGCGAGGTAAACAGTGCCTTGCTTAGAAACATTAAGAAGATGTCAGTTGTCTTAGAAGCCCGTCTTTTATGATGACCAGGTTTAACCTGGTGAAAGTAAATCAGCATGGGCTCTGCTACTCTCATTTTTCTAGCAGCAGTTTTCTTATGAATAAAATGATGGAATAAGTTTGCCCCAATTCTGAGAGAATGTCTTTTCTGTTTCTTTTTTTTTTTTTTTTTTGAGACAAGGCCTTACTATGTAGTCCAGGCTGGCCTCAAACTCACAGCCATTCTCCCGCCTCAGTCTCCCTAGTGCTGGGATTACAGGCATGCACCACTGCACCCAGATGGAATGTTTTATTATTAAAATAGTTTCTGAGGTTGGCTTCATAGGTCATCCATTTGTAATCCAATTATTAGAAACAGAAAAGAAAAAAGTTCTGATCATTGAAAAAGGTTCTATCGTACTATAGAATATGGGAACTGTGGAGACCCTTATGCTGATTCTTTATTTCAGTGGCAACACTCGTTAGATTTTTTTTTCCCTTTAAGCAAATGACAAGTACTATTTAAAGTCCCTTGATGCTAGAAACATGTTAAACAACTAGTGCATTGCCAGTCATATCATAAAGCACCTACAGACATGCAATAAATGTTGAAAGTTGGAACATCCTGCACATCTACGTTATGGAGAGCTACATGGCTTCAAACATTCTCTTATTCTCCTTCAACTCAAGTTTATTGCTCTATTTATATTGGGCCACATCGTTCTCAAAAAGAGAGAAAATCATCGATTGTTGAACAAATTCACACACTGTAGAACAAGCACTGGGCTTGCTCATGTTCGCAGTGCCTGTGGCTCAGCCATCAGGAGGACAGTGCAGAAGTGCTGTGAGCTTCTCACCGGACAGTGGGGTCATCGTGAGACAGTCCTCTGGGACACACAGGCCCGATGCGGGCTGAAGGAAGAGTTGGGAGGATGAAGTAGAGTGGAAAAATCTTAGGGCAGAAGAGACCATTATGCGGAATAATTTAATCCAAGATACTAGATTCAATAGAACTATGGCTCTGTGATACAAAAGAATTTTAGAAATCAATTTTAAATCTTATTTGTGGAAATCGGAGTTTGGAACTTGGGGTTTTAGTCCTCCTTAGAGCAGATAATCAAGTTTATGAGACATAATAGCAGAAGGTATAGATATCAAATAAGAGGCAAATGTGAATTTTATTTCAGCAATACAAATGTGGGTTTTGTGAGCTGTGTTTGGAGGAAGGGTTGGGAGTAGCTGAGATGGAGAGCACGTTAAGTTGAAGTCAAGTGCAGTGTTTTTCCTTTGTAATACGGACATTTCCTAACAAAGGTGGATGAACCAAACTGAGAAGTTAGACACAGCGTGGCCTTCATACATGTCCAGACAGTGTGAGATAGTTTTTCTTTTGGGAGGAATAATTGCCAAACAGTAATCTCCTTTTTTTAGAGATGAAAAAATAAGGCCCATGAAAGTAAAAGGGCAGAGTCTGAGTCACTGGTAGAACTGGGAATACACTCCAGACTCACCCTATTAGCTCATATGTTTTTCTCTAGATAACCACATGTGAGTTTTCAAGAAATAAAATTC